CCCCCCCCCAGGGTCCCCACACCACTGCAACCCCCTTCCCCTCATCACCCCGGCACCGGGGCCACCCCAAAAAGCATCCCACCATTTCCCACTGCTCTTGGGGCTCGGGGTCGGTGGGTGACCCCGGCTTGCGGCGGCGAGGGGCACGTCGCCGTATGCACCGGGGAGCCGGGAACCTCTGGGTCATCTAAGTCCAAGATAGGCTTCGCTTTGCAAGGCCGGAGGTCTTTCCTGTTATTATCCAGCCCGCAGCAGGGGAACAATAGCGGTGGCGGCTGGTGCGGTGTGACCCGGAGATAAGGAGACAGTGTGATTAGCAGGAAAATTCAATAGTAGGTCCAGAGTGAAAACCAGTCCCGAGGGAGCTGCACCGCTGGGAACGACGGGCTTTCCAGCCAGAGGAGCACGAGCAGAGATCAGGCGCAAGCTGGCAGAGATGGGGCTGTAAAGCCAAGGCTGATGTGACGGTACAAACCCAAACCTGAGCGGTGTGGCCACGGCCAGCAACCCCGGAGTGACCTGGCAGTGCCGCGGCCCCAGCGGGGGGTTTGCAGAGCGATACCACGACGGCTTTTTTAAATCCGAAACCAAGAACTAAAAGAGGAAATGGATGCTTGTGTTTCGGCTCTGAGAACTGTGCCATGACACATGACTCCGGAGACGCGAGCGCTTCCCTCGTGGGAGAGAGGAGCTCGTGGCACCGAAGCCTGGCAGAGACTCGCCGAAGCTGCCACATGTGATGGTGGTGCCGGGGAAGGGGCTTGGCCCTGTGGGATTGTGGCACAGAGGTGGGAGCAGGGGGTCAATCCTGCGCCTGGCACGCTCCGGGGATCTGCCTTGGGATGCCGTGCGAGGGGATGGTTGCCCTCTTGGCTAGCGCAAGCCAAAGGCTGCTCAGCCTGGGAAAGTGCCGCTGCCGAGGGCTGCAGGGCTTCGCTTTAACCACCGAAGGAGAAACTGGTGAGAGGCCAAAGGCGAGGGATCTGCACAACCATTGAAACCAGCCCGGGGGGAATTAGCCATTTCCTAGCAATGAGGAAACGCGAGGTTAGCTGAGGACCTGCAGGGCTACGAGGAGGGAATGGGAAGCCAGTCGCTCCCGACAAGTGAGGACAAGCCGGCCGGGGGCTGTGGGGTGAGACCGTCCTCTGCCCCTGGTGCAGGCAGGGGAGGCTGGCGGAGCCGCGCAGCCATCCAGCACCTTCCACCACACCTCTGGATGCAAACCCGAGCGGCAGCTGCCTCGGCCCGCAGGCGTAAACAGGGCAGCACCGGGCACCCAGGCGCGGGCCGAGGATGACGGCGGCTTCTGGGCAGGAGCAAAGCTTGGTGGTCCGGGACCACCCTATCAACAACCCTTTATTTCTACCGAGGGGGGTTTTGAGGCAAACCACATCTGAAGGTGCTGGTGCTCCCGGCGGAGCGGGTGAGGCTGCGAGCTTCCCACTGCGTGGAGAAACCCAGCCCAAACCGACTCGGAGAGCGAGCTGAAGGAGGAAACAAAACCCCAGGAGTTTCTCTCTGCTGAGCATCCCTTGATGGGGTGTCTGGGCACCCGGGGCAGCGTCTCAGGCAGCCGCTTGCCCTCAATAACAGCCGGCGTTTGCACCCCAGGGCGTGGCTGAGCGGCTGCCAGCCCCAGCGAGCGGGATGGGGGGCCGAGACCCCCAAATCCAGCAAGGTCTGGCAGGGCAGCGAGGGGGTCTGGGCTCCTCCAGACAGCCCCGCAAAGCTCCTCGGATGCCACGCGGTGTTTTGGAGACCCACTAAGAATTATTATTGCTAATTAATGAAACCATCATGCCAGGGCTGGGCTGCATGCCCCTTGCTGCCCGCCGGCCTCCTCCGGCGCTGGCGCGGCACGCAGAGGTGGGGACGTGGCCCTGTCCTTGCCTCTCCCGCCTTCCCCTATTACTTCAGGAGCCCTAAATTCCTGCCGCAGCCCAGGCTGCCTCTCCCAGGGCCCGCCCGGCTGGCGCAGCGGCAGGGAGGCATCCGCCACATCCGGCACCTCGCAGCGAAGCCGAGCTCCCGGTGCTCGCACCCACGGCCAGCCCCAACCCGGGGGGTGCACCGTGGCATGGGGGGAACCCCCAGACCAGCAGCTTCACGTGTCCTCAGGCTGAGGGCTGGGAGCTCGGCGCCGGGCATCGGAGCATCCCACCAGCGGCGCCCATCATCCACCCCGTGGCTGATCCACAGAGCCCGGGCCCTTCACGGTGCCGTGGGGGTGCCGATGCTCAGCTGGCCCGGAAAAATCTCCCGTGTCGGCACCAAAACGGGCAGCGGCAGCGTTGT